CGAATCACACAGAATAAGGGAGTACCTTGCTCTGATACCAATTGAAAGTGCTAGTTATCGATTAGAGGGGGGTGAATAGGCGATTTTTATGAAAGTCTTCAAAACATGGAAGTTTCGAAGACAAGCGATAGAAATGAACCTATTAACATGCAACGGAAGGTAGACTACACTAGGCCAGCCATAGTCAAGTATTTAATGAAGTGAAAGCACGAAGACTAATAGCAGCTAGGCAGTATGGATCAGGATGTAAGATAGTATGAAGCCAATCAGAACAAACAGTCACACAGTGAAGACAAACAGATAATGCAAGCAGGCAATGACTTCACAAGGATCAACTATAAATAAAGAGAAGGGAAGGATAGAACCAGTTGCTTAATGAAGACGAGGGATATGTTGGACCAGTTCCAGTTGTTGTGACAACTGTACGTCTCGTTAGGGAGGCTGAGATTTAACTCAGAAGTTCGTGTCTTCACCTTATTCCCCTTGAGCTAAGGACACACAGTCCTCGCCCAATCACTCAGGTAAGTCTTCAAGGTAGACTTCCAAACCTTCACAGACTTTGTTGACCGGCGATCCACAATGACTCTTGGATGCTCAGAACGCGACGCCTAACCGGCTGGAGGATTCATAGTCCTCAAGTGTAACAAGTCTTCAGATCACACAGACAGGAAGACTTCAGTGATGCCTAACACTCTTTGGCTCTGGGTGTTTAGGGTTTTGTCCTCGCAAGGATTTCTCTCTCAAAGGCTTCAAAGGTGGGTTGCTCTCAAACGACAAAAGCCGTGCACTAACTCTGAGCAGCCACTAATTTATGGTGTAGGGGTGGGATATTTATAGCCACTAGGCAACCCGACCTGATTTGTCCGAAATGACCCCGGGTCACTAAGGAACTGACACGTGTTCCAATGGTCAGATTTCAAACACACACGGCAGCTTGACTTGAGCTACAAGTAAATCTGACTTATCCAACTCTGGATAAGATTTGCTCTCATTATCTTCGCTCGAAGACTTAGGATTTGGTTGAGCATCACTTTAGTCATTCTGACTATGTTCACTTGGACCCTACTTAACAGTACGGTGGTTCCTATGACTCAACAAAGAAGAAAATGAAACTACGAAACAACTATGTCTTCGCGCTCCAAAGACTTCATGCGATGTCTTCTCATGTCATAGTCTTCAATGTGAATATCTTCACATACCACCATTATCTTCAATGTCTTCACACATTTTTAGGGGTCATCTCCGTAGGTAAACAGAATTAATGAGGGACTACCACCTGTGTTATCCTGCAATTCTCACAAACACATTAGTCCCTTAACCAGGTTTGTTGTTAGTACTCCAAAACCAACTAGGGGTGGCACTGGATGCACTTACATTATTTTTAGTAGTTTCCGAGGTGTGAAATTCAAGTTTTATTTTGCTTGCGCAGTTGAAAATAAATGCTGGCAGAGATATTAAATCCAAACCTGGCTTATTTTTCTCAATATGGGTTCAGAAGGAAATTGTCATTGAGCTTCTATCTAAAGGTATGTCAGATTAACAGGTTGCTATCGTAACTCTTGATTTTGAGTAATGCAAAGCAATGTCATCGGTACATCTTCGGTTGCCGTTCTTCCAGAGCGAAGGATTTCCCCCCTAGATTGTGCTATGAAATAATGCTTGTATAACGCCTTGATCTCTTGGCTATACCATGCTTTCTTGACAATACTATACTTGCAGAAGAATGATGCTTCTATAGAATGCCACAATGAGTTCTGGCAGCTCTTTTAATTTTGTGTTCACTATGGACGAATGAACCATATAATTTGTCAATTTGATCAGTACTTGCTGACTACTTGCTTTCATGTTGCAATCTCAGTTTTAGGCACTTCATAGCCATAGAATAATTTTGAATTGTTATGCTCAGTACACCAAATGGTGTTCCTAGGTAATGCACTGTTTGCAACTAAGTTTTGTCTTTAAGCACCAAGGCGTAGTAGTATGCATTGAAATAAATGGATCATTTCTATCTTTCTAGTGCTCATAATAGACTTTTTCATTTTGGATTTGTATGCTTGAAATTTGATTATTTCTACCAGCTGAGAATGGAAATGAAATGTACCGCATACACTTTTTCATTAGATTTCAGCAGCCTCGATGGCTGATGGCAGCAACCTCATGGGCCACACACCCCCTTCCTTAATTGCATGCCCTCACAAAATGGATGGGGATTGGGTTCTTTGGTTGTCATCGCCGGACTCAGTGAAGGATGAAAAATCGAGATGATCCGGTGGAGAATAGATGCCACGAGCTGAAGAAAGGAGGCGACGGTTTCAGAGCACACACCTTGAAGCGGAGAGGCGGCAGGGGAGTGGGTCTGGATGGCAGAGGGAGCGAGACGAGGCAACATCAGATGGGAGGCATGGTCAAAAGCGGCGCCATAGGAGCAATCGTGCGTGTGTGGGGGCATACTAGGGAGAAGGAAATGGGTGGTCGGTTTTCCAGGGCTTTTTCCTTGCATCGGGAAATGGGTTCGGTTGAAAAACAATGAGGTGGGGAGGTCACGCGAAGGGTGGAGACGTGGGTACCATATAACGTACCAACTGTGCTTTAATAGTAGAGATTAAGATGTTGATATTTTATTCATTTTCTACTTAGCTGAACATTCTTTGAAGAAAAAAAACTATGAAACTTGTAATGTATCATGGTCGCAATTTGTGAAGTAGAACTAACTATCCTTTGACCAAATACTCTTTGATCAGTCATCAATTTTTATGTATTTGTCGCCCGTGACAACAAATATGGAATACATGTCTGCGTTCTTGAAAGAACAACATGCTATTCTGATTACGTGCAACTTTTCTGATAAAAAATAGTCGTTACTCAGTAATCTGGATCAAATAACTATGCACTATAGGCACTAATATGGTTACCTTTGAATGAGTTTGTTATTGTGTTTAGTTACTGTGATGTTTCATATGTTCATTAGAAAAAATAAAGGCTTATTTGCTTGCATATGCTTTCTCATGTTTGTTTGTTTGTTTGTTTTATCTTCTCGTTGTTCCTTTTCTATAATTGTCACATAAAGTGAACCGAAGCTCATATTCTATATTTTTGTTGTGTAGATACCCGCGAGCCCGCTGTTGAACTCGCTGAAAATGGAGATAGACATGAATTTAACGATTCCCATACATTTAAATCTCAGTGAATTCATACCAGTTTCTATTTGGAACTGAGATAACTAGGAATCATTTCCTTCATGATACTGGTTGTATGAGCTTTTTTCCTTCGGTGTAGGCCAATATTGTACAAAGTTATTTCCTAAAATTATATTCGAAGGTGTCTTCTATGAGAGTAACCATCTCAATCTTTTTTCTATATTTGTCACAAGGTTCTTGTGCTGAAGTGGTTTTTTTGGTCAATATGTTTTCTTCTGAATATTTCAAGAATGAATATTTCAATATGTTATAAGTGAAAAATTATGTAGTGACAAATGTTTGGGAATCATAGTGGCGAAAAGGTGCAATGCAGGAAGAGAAACTTTAGTGATTGTTGTAACGTGCTTGTGGCATTTTTCGTCTTCTGCCCGTAGCAACGCACGGGCATTCTACTAGTGTCATTAGATTTTCAGTCTTGTTCTTTCGGGTTTGAATTTATAAACTCCAATATCGAGCGCCTCGCTAAGTACGCGCTTACCCTTTTCAGTAGGTGTAGGTCTCCATGTTTTAGCTTCTTCAACCTCCTGATTCAAATTGTATTCGTCACAAGATTGTTGAACAATAAATAAAGTATGTGTTTAGCTAAAAAACACTTAAAAATGTCACTTGCCAGGTGTTGTTGTCCAAAAAACTACTGTAGAAAACATTGTCTAACAGGTATTTTTTTTCCGGATATATCTAACACACACCCATTTCTCAAAAAAGACTTTCGTCTCGCTTTATATATAAAGCAACACAAAAAAGTACACGACGAAGTGATACACAATGTGATGAGGAGGCCCCAATACAAAGCAAATTCAAAGATACAATATAAACCTAGAACAAGCTAACACCTCTCCGAGCTTCACAACAACATCCCTAAGAGGGTGACGACGCAAAGCGTCGCCATTGCCAAGTCCGAGCAGACAAAGATTTTTACCCGGAGCCCTGACATAAGAAGACCCACAACGACGACTTCAAGTAACATTTTAAGAGCATGGCCAATGCATAACCCCAAACCTACTCCCGACAAGTTAGTACATAGACCAGCTACCCTCGGATGTCATTGTGGATCAAAAGCTTTTTTTAGCAAAAAGTCTAAGGGCAGCTCCAACGCTAATCCTTACAATGGACTGCGCACTGGTTAGACCAGTCTGCAGACATGGATGCGGGAATCGACTGTCAATCACATCTTCTAAACGTCCGCCTAGGTCTGGCCAATTTGAATTTCAAATGCATATCGACTGATTTCTTGTATTCTCTGTGAGATCAATACTTTTACTTTGAAAAAGCAACAACTTTACTTTTGAAGTTACGTCCACTTTGGAGCGGCGTGAATGTGCGCCAACCGTTTCGCGCGATAATGGTTTTTCGGTGGAAGAGGGTTTAGGGTGGGACTATGGTGTCGAATGCGTGCGTGGCAGCGGTCTGTACACCCCCAAATCTCTTTTTATTTTGTATTTGGTTTGCGGAAAAACGAACGTCCCATCGCTCCACAGACCGATGAGGTACGGTGTTAGATGATAAAACGGGTCCTGGGTCGCGACCGATTTGAGAGTAAGCATTGGAGATGCCTAATTATTCTCCACCGTCCGATCATTGAGATTCGCTGTTTCCAATGCGAGAGAAACCAAACTTTCCAACCAAACGGCAGACCAACCAAACCCCCGTCTTCTCCACCGCGTCGTCTCCCTCCTCCAACCCCCCCACCTACCACCACTCTCCTCCTCCCTCCCCCACTCCAGTCTCATAAATCCCGGACCCCACGCGAATCTCCCCGCACCCGCGGCGAATCCACGAGGGGGAGCGACCCGCCGCTCGATTATGGAGTTCCTGCAGGGGCAGAGCACGGAGACCACGGTGGCCGTCGCGGTCGCCGTCGTCGCCGTGGCCGCCGGCGCCGGATTCCTCCTCCTCCGCAGCAAGAAACCCAAGGGTACGCGCGCTCGAGTCCGTACAGATAGATAGACACTTTCGCGCGCGTGTTCGAGGTCTGGTGCGTGGGTTTCTGTGGATCGAGGATGCTTTGCTGATGGCTAGGGGAGTGGATCTCCTGAAAGAGATGCCGCGGACGCGGATGCCATTTACTTAGGTTGTTTGCTACAGATAATATTGATATATTTGAATCGACAGTGACTTCACGTTCACTCTTCATCCAAAGTTTCAGCATGACTAGAATATTTAGTTCGCATGCTTTTCTGCACCTGCAGATTCTAGGGGATTTTTAAACTGTTTTATGTGATTCATTTTCACACTTGCTACCCTCTGAACAAAATTATTTGCTCTATTTAAAGCAAGATTACTGCTTTTGAAGTTTGTGTCTAATATTAATATTAATGGATGTGCTATGGTCTGTAGGCTGCTTGGATGCTGAGAATTTCAAAGAGTTTAAACTCGTGCAGAAGAGACAGATCAGTCATAATGTGGCCAAGTTCAAATTTGCTCTCCCGACACCTACTTCTGTGTTGGGCCTTCCAATTGGCCAACATATAAGCTGCAGGTTTGAACACTTTTAGTGCTCATGCCCTGGTCTACAGTTATGATGTTGAGTTGAATGTTCATTCTTTTTGGTTCATGGAGTCAGTCAAATATTCTTAATCTGTTGTTTTCTGTGTTATGTCAACTGCCGCAGAGGGCAGGATGCTACTGGTGAGGAAGTAATCAAGCCTTATACTCCGACAACACTGGATTCTGATATTGGATACTTTGAGCTTGTTATAAAGGTAACTTGCTGTAAACATGTCCCATTTATTTTGCTTTAGTATTATTTTGTCTCATTATCTCTATTTGCGATATCAATCTATTCCTCTATCTGTGTATAGTGTTGTGAATTCAGAATTCACCCCTTTTTTTTTTACAATTTTTCTTTCTCATTATACAGATGTATCCCCAAGGAAGAATGTCCCATCATTTTCGTGAGATGAAAGTTGGTGACTACATGTCTGTGAAGGGACCAAAGGTATGTCTATCTTTTTATTGTAAGTAGCTCTTGATCGTTGCATACCGAATCTCCTGGATTTGGCCATTTTCGTGGTCTTTTCTTCTGGATATTATCTTTGTTGCATCTTTAAATTCCTTGAAACATAAACAACACCATATGGATCATAATTTTGCTAACAGAAATGTGTAAATTCACAATTCCATGCATGTTGATATTTCAAATCAGAGGTTAAATGCGTTTGTCTCTAATGCAGGGCCGTTTCAAGTACCAGCCTGGGCAAGTGAGAGCATTTGGAATGATAGCTGGAGGATCAGGCATTACACCAATGTTCCAAGTAATAAATGATCCAAAGTTCTTCCATTGCAGTTAATACTTGAAACATTCTGCTGGTGCTGAGCAATGCATCTTGCTATCTTATCCTAGGTCACAAGGGCAATTCTTGAGAACCCAAACGACAATACAAAAATTCACTTGATCTACGCTAATGTCACATATGACGACATTCTTCTGCTGGTATGCTTTTCTTGTCAAATTTGCTGCAGTTCTTCACTGGCACTTTATCTGATTATCATTCCAAATTTGTTCTATTGTCAATACATAGAGCAGAAACATATCATAAGATCAACCATTGTGAATTGTATTTCATACACGCTTTTCCCATAAGGATTTTTCTTCCACAATGTGCCAACAACCCTGTTTCTTATTAGTGATAAATATTTACTACTCCCTCCGATCCATATTTACTACAAAGCTGTACTAAAGCTGCGACAAGTAATATGGGTCAGAGGGAGTAAGTGATAAACACTAGCCAATAGTATATTTTATTTTGTTTATTTTGTTCTGTTATACCATTCCTTTACTGGTTAGACCTGTACAAGAAAATGACAGGTTGGCCTAATACTTAGTGATTGCTTTTGGGAAGCTCGTTAGGCTTACAGTACGATTCCTTCATGGTGAATGGAGTTTGCTATGTTACCAGTATGGTATTATGCTTTGAGTCCTGATGTTCACTTCTTTCTTCGATCCATGCAGGAAGAACTGGACAATATGGCTAAAAACTATCCTGATCGCTTCAAGATCTACTATGTCCTGAATCAGGTGTATATTCTGTCCTGAACTTTGTATACTTTATCCTGTGACCTGCTATAAACTGCATGGCTGACCCTTTATGTGTATCTAGTCTTGACTGATATGAGTATTGCAATCCTCACTGAATCCTCGAATGATAACTTTCATGCACTATATGATTACTGCAATCCTCACTGAATCCTCGAATGATAACTTTCATGCACTATATGATTACTGCAATCCTCACTGAATCCTCATATAGCACAATATATCACGCTGAGGAACGTTCCTCGTACGCACCTTACTCTATAGCCATTGTTTTCCGTGTGCAGCCACCTGAAGTCTGGGATGGTGGTGTTGGGTTTGTGTCAAAGGAAATGATCCAAGCTCACTGCCCAGCGCCTGCCGCCGACATTCAGGTAATCTCGAGACTTCAGTGAACGTTGAAACCAGCATTTCTTTGTGAAACCTTCAAAATGTATTTCATCCGACGAACAAGACACTGATGCGACGCTCTTTGCCTTGTTTCAGGTATTGAGATGCGGGCCTCCTCCGATGAACAAAGCCATGGCTGCAAACCTGGATGACCTTGGCTACACCAAGGAGATGCAGTTCCAGTTCTAGGTTCCGACGGTGGAAGCTTACCAAAATAACGGGTTGCATGACCATTCTTAGTATTTTTTCAGTTTGACATGGGCTGATTCTGATGCCATTTAGCTCGTGTAGACACCTTCCACAGTCCATGAAGCGGCAGTTATACCGTGATGCTGCACGTTGATGCGTGTCCAGTGTTACTTGCGTCCGTAACGCTATTTGCCGAGTATAGGAGACAACAGCTTATCAGCATGCCAGAAATAAGCTTTTTTACATGAAAACCACTGCGATTTCATTCACATTTGGCCAAAGCATCGCTTACCACCGAATGACCGACGAGTGTCTGGCCATGTCTCTCTATTGGCACCAAAACAAAACACACACCGGATTAAAGTTTAAACTCACAAAGGTACTTCATTTTTCATGGCAATACATCTCTACTATTAAAGGGGAATCGGACATCGTGATGGTTCGACCTCCTTCCACCCCCTCCTCTGGCTATCGATACATCCTCTCACCCACATCCTCCCATTGATTTTTTTTCAATCCCTCCGAAAACCAGAGGCAAGTAACCCGGTTCAATCAACTCTTCCTCCCCATGTCGTACAGTTCCGCACAATTGGAAAATCCACGCACAAAAAAATCGCCTGAAAAAGCCCACGTTCGACAGCTAAAAAAATGAAACAACGCACGTTCTCCACCTCCTCCCCGACCTGCCGATCTGTATCCTCCCTCCCCCAAAACAAGAACCATCCGCACCCAGCGCCTCGGACGCCCCGTCTCCGACGACCACCCGACACCTCCCTCTCCATCGGATGGCCCCTTCTTCCTTGATTGCACCTCCCTCTACCCCATCTGTTATATGGCGCCCCACCCATGAACTTTTCGCCATGGCCGCCTCCTTGGCCATGCCCGCATGGCAGCCATGATTGGGATCGTCACCTCCCTTGGACGGGGTGGTATGACCACGGCCAGTGCGATGGAGGCGAGGGGGTTTGTGGTGGTATCATCCACGACGGTGGAGGCGGCGACGTAGTTCTAGGAGGAGAGTTACGCGAGTTACGCAAGTTGCGGCGGTGGAGGCGGCGACGGACATTGAGCCTTGTCACCATGACCCCTCTATCGTCGGTTCTTCTCTCTCCCTAATCCCTTCTCAATCGAGCTTCGACCCACCCGATCCTCAGTTCCACCTCGCTCCCCACCCCACCTCAGTCGTGGTGGTGATGATGCCAACGACCCGCTTCCAATTGGGTTTCCAAGGACACCGGTCACAGAACTATCCATCCGCGACCAGTCCACTAAAGACCCTGACATGGAGGATGTCCGGAGGAAGGAGGAAAGAAGAACATGAGGGAGAGGAGATGCGGCCCAAGCTCTCGCTAGACCTGCTCCTCTCCGACGGCAGCATGTTCTTAGTCCTCTGCTACCTCCCCAAGACGTCATTCCCGGTGCCCTACCCATCCACGAGGTACCCACCTATAACTCCAACTATAGGCAGATGTGATCTGTGGCGCCCCTTGTTGCACTACCTTTCCCTGCTACCGATAAACTATTTCCAGCCTTCAAATATAGTGCTTTTATGATATTTGCTTGTTTGTTTAAATGTGCGCCTTGTCTACTTGAAGACATGGTAAATAGTTCTGGATTGCCTGGCTAATAGAAGTGAATTGGAATTTATAATTAGATCATTGGTGCAAACGAACTGTTACTGTATGGTATTGCATTACAAATTTTGAGTTGTAATTGAGTTTCACTGTTCAAGTTTATGCCAAAGCAGATTCCGCTTGTGCTGATGCTTAATTGGTAATTGACAGTCTTGGGATGGCGCCCTGAGGTTCCAACTTGTTTCAGTGTAATCTTTACACTTTTTTTTGTACCGACACATTTTTCTTAAAGCGGAGTATTCTCTTGCTTAGAGGTTGTTATGACATTGATATGGTGTTATTTTTTATGAAGATGGGAGTGAGATGAGTTAATTGCAAGACACTACCACACTTCGGCACGTCGTAACGAATCAGTACCATTAGTCATTTTTTTTGCCATGCAGTACCAACTCTAAACCTAAGTGTTGCAAAACGGACTGACAGCCGTATAAGCGCGTATTGACGGTGTATCTGACCGCTGGGACCCATGTGTCAGGGCTGACGTGTCGTGTTTTTTTACAAAAACAACCCTTACTTTTTATTTAATCACGCATATAAAAAGTAAGATGAGTTAATTGCAAGACACTACCACACTTCGGCACGTCGTAACGAATCAGTACCATTAGTCATTTTTTTTGCCATGCAGTACCAACTCTAAGCCTAAGTGTTACAAAACGGACTGACAGCCGTATAAGCGCGTATTGACAGTGTATCTGACCGCTGGGACCCATGTGTCAGGGCTGACGTGTCGTGTTTTTTTACAAAAACAATCCTTACTTTTTATTTAATCACGCATATATCCTCTGTTTGTTAAAAAAAGGTGTTGCCACAAAAATTCTTTTTTCGAAAATAAACGCACGCGTGGGTGGCCGCGGGGATTCGAACCGGAGACGTGCGGATCTACTGGGTAGCTCGCTGCCGCTGCGCTGCTACACCTTTTGCGTCAAGAATAACGCATACGCCTTTTTATATGTTGGGCCATTCGTTTTTTTTTTTACGAAGTAGAAAATCGCGCGCCCGTCCGACGGAAATCGATCCCGCGCCTAGTCGTTTTCAGCGCTTGCTTGCGCATCCTATTTAGTGAAAAGCACCAGACCCGTACGTGCTTTTTTGGAATTATATGTTAGTACTATTTAGTGAAAAGCACCAGACCCACCCACGGCAAGTTTTTATGTGGGTTAGTATTATTTAGTGCCAAGCATGAACTTTTTTTCTAAAATTTATGTGGATTAAAACACAAATGTAAGAAAATTTTATGTGTCTTCACTCAGGATCACACGCATGCACAATTATTATGCATCATCAATATATTTTTAAAATACACAATTAAACAAATTATATGCCCAACTCACAGTTACTGCATATATTTGTTGTATTTTTTTAATGCACAGTTATTTAAAAAAATTATAACATGTACTAAAAATTATTGTGTAATCGTAATAAATTTTATAATGCATGACGAACATTTTATAAAATACATTTACAATTTTTAAATACGCGTACAACATTTCCCAAAAAATGTTCTGAACATTTTTTCTTCAAATGCACAAACACTTTAATTTTAAAAAATTGAACATCAACCAAAAACAAGGCAGAGACCAGCAGGTTTATTCTTCAGACATTGTATATTATTAAATGTTCGATATATATACGATGAACTTTTTAATATATTATGCAATGAACATATTTTCAATTATACGGCACGACAAACTTTTTTTAATGTCATATAATATTTCTTTTAGTATCGTATAAAAACTAGAACAGCACGGAGTTTAAAGACGTACACGCGTACGTTGACGCACAGGATGCGCAAGCAAACGAGCGCGGGATGGAGATTTCCGGCGGACGGGCGCGCGATTTTCTGCTTTGTAGAAAAAACCGAATGACACATATATTTATGCGTGCTTCTTACCGCAAAAAGAGCAGTAGCGCACCGGCAGCGAGTTTCCCCCTCGAACGGCACGTCGCGCGTTCGAACCCTGGCGGCAGGCGCGCGGGCTGTGTTTATATTCTGATAAATAGTATGTTTTTGTGGCGAGGCCTTTTTTATAACACACAGAGGATATATGCGTGATTAAATAAAAAGTAAGGGTCCTTTTTGTAAAAGAGCATGCCACGTCAGCCCCTGACACACGGGTCCCAGCGGTCAGATACACCGTCAGTACGCGTTTATACGTGGCTTAGACCATTTTGCAACACTTAGGCTCTGAGCTGGTACTGCATGGCAAAAAAATGACTAATGGTACTGATTCGTTACGATGTGCCGAAATGTGGTAGTGCCCTGCAATTAACTCGAGTGATATCCTGATAAATATGTTTTTGTGGCGAGG